GGGAATGGCACAAACATAAGGCTGAAAAGATCCTTTGTAACCTTCACGGTCCTCCCAGGAGATAACAGAGGCACTTTGTTGTGGCTGGTTGGCTACTCCAAGGCCTCGCAGGGTCTGGTTAGACTGCTTTAGAGGCCATTCTTTTGGCCAGTCGGATTGTCTGATAATACTGACATCTGCTCCAGTGTCCAAGAGACCTTCAAATGGGGTACCTTGTAACATGAATGTAGCCACAGGTCGGTCCTGTAAGGAGACAGACAGGTTAACTAGGGCATCTCCAGAGGACCCAAAACCTTTATCCCCACCAGGCCTCATGACAACTAGGAAGGACCAGCAATTGAGCAATATGCTCTCCAGGAGCAATGGCAGTAATTCCTTTTGGCGAAGAAAGCATAACTTTAACAGTACCAGTATAATCTGAATCAATCACGCCTGGGTGGACAATCAGACCCTGCATAGTTTTGGAACTTCACCCAAGTACCAATCCCACTGTACCGTTAGGAAGAGGGCCGTGAAAGTCTGTATCAAGTGCCTGCGGGCCCATTTCAGGAGTCAATACCAAGTGGAAGGCAGCGCAGAGGTCCAATCCTGCGCTCCCGGGCATGGCTCGGTGGACTGTCTGGTCATCAATTCTGTCTGCTCTGGGTACACCCCGTATACTCTGTAGGGGTGTTTCGTCCAGCAGGACAGTCAACGGGGGTCACAACCACCTAGGAGAGAATGGGGGACAAGAGACATGAAGAATGGACAGCAAGACAGGATGTCTGATCAAGCTGTCAGTTTATTGATTTTAATTGAGGGTTTTTATATTCTTCAGTAACTAAGGCTCAGGGAGAAAAGGAGAAACTGGGACACAAGCCATGGTCTCAAGACCGATTGTTCTTGAGCAGTCACCATATCAACAATAGTAACCACCATATTAACAATAGCATAGGTAATCAATATCAAGATGTTGGCAGGTACAGCATAAATCACATTCTAAAACAGTTGCTAGAAACAATTGAAGCTAAGCGTGTGATTAGTTTCATAACTTCTTTCCCAAGCATCTAGCCAGCCGGGGATTTTCCACTGGCCCACAGTTCTATATTCAAAATGGCTTCAGTGTGACTACAGTACATGGCTCCTGACATGGCTTCAGTGTGGCTATAGTACATGGCTCCTGACATAGGGGCCCCGGGGTGGCGGGCCCTCTGGCCGTTTTTTGACCAAGACTCATTTCCTAAGGTGCAGCCAGAGACATCCCTCCTAGAATGACATTCATTAGCCCAATGATTACCTTTGCCACATCTAGGGCATAAGCCAGGGCGAGGTGGAGGACAGCAATTTGGCACCCTCTGGCAACAATCCTTCTCATATGTCCAGGCTTACCACAGCGAAAGCAATTCCTTCCTCGTTCTTTCCCTTGCACTACAGCTCCTAAAACTTTAGCTTGTTCTCTAGCTTGAAACACTCCTGCAGTAATCTGATCATGAACATCCCGACAGATCTTAATCCAAACATCTAAATCCTTATGTTTCCAAGGACATATAGCCTCTCGGCACCACTTATTAGCATTTTCATAGGCCAATTGCTTCCCAAGTGGCATAGCCTGCTCTACATCTGGAAACAATTGCTGATGACCTCCATAAGACGGCTGACAAAATGTGCATACGGCTCATTAGGTCCTTGAGTCACTTTAGAGATGGAAAATCGGACATCACCCTTGCTCTGTACTGCTTTCCAGGCATTCTTCCCTATCATGGCAATCTGCAGACAAAGTGGTTCCGGATAAACACATCGATTCTACTGGCCTACCCAGGCCCCTTCCTCAAGCAGAACATCTATGTTCCAATTTGCATTGCTGGCCTGAGCATTATGGCGAGCTGTGTCCAGAGCCAATTCTCTACATGCTGATTGCCAGACTAAATACTGTCCTGGTGAAAGGGTGGCTTTAACTAAATTTTGCCAGTCCTCAGGAGTCAGGGTATCAGCAGCAATCTGCTCCAGTATGGCCAAGGTAAAGGGCACATGAACATCATAAGAATCAACAGCCATTTTAAGGTCTTTAATGTTTAAAATTCAACATCTCATGCGAACGAGCCGGTGGGTTTTGAGTGCGATCTTCTCTCACAGGAAACACTTGCCCTGTCTCTGCAAAATCACGCCACAATCGTACATGATCAGGTAAAGCCTCAGCTGTCTGCTGGGTTCCTGATTGCAGCCAAGGTGGCACACTAGGTAACAGAGGGCCTCCAGGAGAAGGCGCAGGTGGCCAAGCAGAATTCTGAGAGCCCAGACACCCAGAGGACGCTTCCTCTTGCATTTCTTCGAGCACTTGCCCTCCTACTCGTAACAAATCTTTAAACTTATCTGTCTTATCCACTAAACAAGACTTCATCCAAGTCCAAAATCCCACAGTTTCCGGAGGGAGAGGCTTGACTTGACCAGCTTTAGACAGGTCCCTTCCGAGGTGCTCCCACTGTGGCACATTCAGCATGCCCTCTTCTATGAACCAAGGGGCATGGCGCTGCACTGTTTGCAGAAGTGAAAGTACCATCCCTGCCTTTACCGGCGTTCCATGCTTTTGTAGCAGTTTCTGTAACAAGTTTTGCATACGCACCAGGAGGCCAAGTTCCCCATTTTGTTCAGCACTGCAGACTTAGACTCGTCAGTTTACTGGGAACCTGACTCGTCCCTTTACCGGGAACTTGACTCGTCACCAACCCGGTGAACCTGATGTGCACGTCCCCGCTGCTATCAGCAGCTCCCTGAGGAAACCTCAGCTCTGATGGGCCCTCCGCTTCTGCGGCTTCCTGGGTATTGATCCCAGCTTCTTCCTGGGTGAATGCCACTCAGCTTCTTACCTGAATGTACTCACCTACGATGCAAATTCTATTCGAGTCACGGCACCAGATATCAGGGTCCCTCGTCCCGCGAGCAAGACTCCAACACGGTATAGACTCTTTATAAAGTTTATTACATAAGACTTCAAGCGTAGCGGCAAAGCAAAAGCAGTTATAACATAGCGCTTGGCTTGCACATAAGGGAATCTCTCGTTCTATTATTACCCACAATTTTTATGCATAACACAAACCAATCCATATACAGCTCCTCACATCATGCGGTGAGCACACCAATCATGACTCTGATCACATGCGCATCACGCAGTTTCCATGTGTGCTTGGCCCAATCCTCAGTAACTTCCCGAAACCTGTTTACCATCTCTGCCCCATGAAGCAATGATCACAAGCGCCATCTTTGAGGCGCGGCTCCGCTCTCCACAGGGAACGAGGAACTTCTTCCGGGTATCCCACATGGGTGCAGGGTCCCAAAGCTTTGGGTCGTCCTCGACTGCTTTCCCAGGTCACAAGTGGAGCTGCCGGGATTAGAACTGGTGCCCATATGGGACCCCAGAGCATTCAAGGTGTAAGTTCAAGGTGGACTTCAAGTGTAGCAGCAAAGAAAAAACCAGTTACAACAGTTGTAAGATTTATTGCAGCAAAGTGAAAGCAGTTACAGCTAGTGCTAGCAGCTACAACATAGCCTTGAAGCGATAGCCTTAGCTCTATCCTTAGCAGCTTGCCCGGGAGAATCTCTTCTCTCTTAACTATTTTTTACCCAGACCTTTTTACATTACACAAACCAATCCATACACAGCTCCTCACATCACACAGTGAGCACACCAATCATGACTTAGGTCACGTAGCTTCCCTGCGTGCTCAGCCCAATCCTCGGTAACTTCCCAAAACCTGTTTACCACCTTTGTGCCATGAAGCAATGGTCAACAAGTGCCATCTTTGAGGCACGGCTCCTCTCTCCACAACCTTTAGATGCTAGGCCATAGCACTGGGCCCCCTGACCAGTCTTTCTTTGAAACAATATGACTCCTGCCCTGGTTCATGCCCAGGGTTCTGTCCTTGGCCGCCATCTTGCCTGCCACTTGTAACCCTGTGACCTGTGTTGGGTAATTACTTCCACAGGATGGGGACCCCGATAGAGCCCCACAGGCCCACGTTGGAAAAGAGACACATTGGGGCTCATCCCATTGCCCAGCCCTGGGCTCCCCAGCAGGTGCACCCAGCGGCTGCTCAGAGGCTCCTGCCATGCCTGATAATGCCGAATTCAGAACAAACTGGCCAGGTACCAGCCCCATGCTGCATTTCACTGGGGATTCTGTCCGGCCTGAGTGGTGTCACTCCCTACGGCTGCCACTGCCATTTATACCAAGTCTCCAGGGCCTGCCTTCCTTGTCCCAGCAACAGGAAGTCCACACAGGCCCACCCTGCTGGATGACATGAGACAGACTGCCCAAGCCTTGTGCCAGCACACAGATGGAGAGTGACTGCAAGGCAGCCAGAGCTGCACAGAGGCCGGTTGGCCATAGGTGCTGCCCCGTGAGGTTCAGTTGGTCTTCCTGAGGCAGCCTCATAGTGTGAGCCTGTGTGCGTGGTGGGGAAGAGGGAGATAGAAAAGTGGGTGCTGTGTGGCCAGATGAGGGAGCCTGTGGAAGCAGGCCACCCGCACCCCTAGCCTGGAGCATGTGAGAGCACTGTGTGCATAGGACTCCAAGCTGAATGGCCTGGCCTGTTGCGGGTTCTCTTGTTCCATCACCCTTGGCTGGCGGGTGGCAGACACAGCAAGGACCCTCGGCCATGGCCCACAGCCATGCACTTGCTCCTTGCTGGGTCCAGAGTCAGGCTGCCATCCATTGCCATTTGCACAGGCCAGGGATGCTGAGAAAGGAGAGATTGCGGGTAGGGCAGGTGGACATGTGTCCCAGCACCCTGGGGACAGGGCTGCAAGCTGTCCTACGGCCATCCAGCTGACCCTCCCTGACTGCCTTGGTCTCTTGCCAGATGTTTAGTTTGCTCCAAAGGAAGACACTCCCAGCAAAGCATCATTTCTCCAAAGGAAGGAAATGGAAATTTCTGAGAACGCACTTCTGCTGGAGAAAGGAGGGGCCCCAGGGCCCCGCCCTCCCACCCTACAACTAGCCGAGCCCAGCCTCAGGAGCTGCACTTGCCAGTTTTCTGCACTTGGAACACAGACTTTGCCCAAGCTGGAGATGTTCAAGAAGGGACACCACATGACGAAGACTGAGAGAACCCATCCCTCCACCGTCATCAACATTCACAGCGATTCCACTGTGCCCGACCATGTGGTCTGGTCCCTCTTCAACACGCTGTTCTTCAACTGGTGTTGCCTGGGCTTCGTGGCGTATGCCTACTCGGTGAAGGTGTGTGGGGTGCCGGGGTCATGGGCAGTGGGTGGCCTTCAGGCTCTGCCAGGTGGCATCTGTGGACCTTGGGTGTGAGTGTGTCTCCGTGTGTGTGGAGGGGACTGAGAAGGCCTCTGAGTGCAGGATTAGGCTCTGGCCGCATGGGCTGACCTGGTCAGCTGGGACTGGACTCAATCTCTTCCGGCCACAGGCATCCTCCCTTCTGGTCAACACCAGTCACTTCTCACGGGGCCGAAGTCTAGGGCGGGTGGAGCCTGTTCTGGCCAGGAGCTGGCACTTGGCTCTCAACTGCCCTGACCGGGTTCCCCTTCCTGCTTCTTTTCTCCCAGTCAAGGGACAGGAAGATGGTAGGTGACGTGGTTGGAGCCCAGGCCTACGCATCCACCGCCAAGTGCCTGAACATCTGTGCCCTGGTGATCAGCATCCTTTTCTTCGTGGCGACCATTGTCATCATTGTGCTCAACATAGCAGCCATTGCCCAGGCAATTCCTCGTTAGAGGAGGAGCCTCGCCAGGCCTGCAGTGCACACCTGTGCTGGCAGCCCGCCCCTCCCCCAGCCTCACGCATGTCCACTACCATACCTCTCCATCCTCAGTCGTGTCTACCCTCCCGCATGTCCACCCTCATGCCCGAGCACCATGGGCTTCAATAAAGTGCCTGTCTCCTAATGGTCCTGCGATGTCCCTGGAGGTGGCGCTGGGGAGGAGAGCAGCAGCTGAGGGACCATCCTGGGCACTGCCCAGCTCTTCCTCAGTACAGGGTGCTGTGCCTATGTCCCTGACACAGCAGACACAGCTTCCTGACCTGTGCAGCTCTCACCCACCGCCAGCAAGGCTGTGTGGCTAGAGCGGTGCTTGTGCACAGCACTTCCTGGTCCCTAGAGGAGCTTCAGGTGCCCTCTCTTGCAGCTTGGGGAAGATGCGCCAGGGAGCAGCCTGGGGAGTGCTGGGTATGTTGTGTCTCCTGCTGGTGGGCAGCCTGGGCAGTGGAGGATATGTGGTGCCCCCTGCTGGTGGCCGGGGCCCCTTCCCCCAGCAGGACTTGGGACCAGATGGCAGGTACCAGGGTGGGCGTCTTGTGGGGACCCTTGAGCTTTGCACGGGCTGCTGGCCAGGCCTCCTGCCTGTTCACCCCACATAGCTTGCTTCTCACACAGGTGAGTCCTTGTCACACCGCATCCCAGCAGCCTGGGGGAGGATGTGGGGGTGGAGTGCACAGTGCTGAGACAAGGGCTGAAGAGGGATGGGGCGGCCATGCCACAGGACATGGGGGAATGAGGGGAAGGGGTGGCCACCCCACAGGACATGGGGGAATGGGGGGAAGGGGCGGCCACCCCACAGGACATGGGGGAATGGGGGCATGGGGTGGTCACCCCACAGGACATGGGTGACGGGGCGGTCACCTACAGTGTTGCAGGGATTCAACATGAGACGCAGCAGCAATCTTGTTTCTTGTCTCACAGGAAAGAATTTTCATATGGACAATTCTAGTTTGCAAAGCAAGATTTATTTGAGGAGAGGGAAAGTGGCTCCTGACCTAGCGGCAGGAGGGGGCTGCTGTGCACAAGGGGAGTTAATATCTTCATATACCCTTTGTTCTCCCTCAAGCAAAGAATGTGCTCTTTGGAGAAACACAATTTTATATTTTTAAATCCGGACTCTTCACCCAACAGGACACATGGGTGTGGGGCTGCTACCCCACAGGACATGGGGGGATGGGGCGGTCACCCACAGGACATGGGAGCCCAGGCTACAGACCCCTCTGCCTGCCCCCCCAGCAAGGGCACTGAACAGGTGCTTCCGGCTTGCCTGTGGCTGCAAGCTGGTCCCCAGAGGAATGTGCCAAGCCTCCTTGGAGCTGAGGCTCACGCTCAAGCCACCCACAGCAGAGGCAACACCAGCCCCTGGCCTCCAGAGGAGGTGCTGACAGTGGTCCCTGACCACTGCCCTGGAATCCCAGAGGAAGGGTGCTCTCCCTGGGCCTTGGGTGTAATTTGAGCTGTTTTTAGGTGGCTGCCTGGGCTGGGGGTGCGGTCACCAGGGCTGGGAGGTGGGGGTGGCTGAGCTATTAACCACGGGAGCGCTAGGCTCCCAACTCCGAGTGAGGACACGTCAGTGCTGGAACTTGTGGACATGGTGTACCCCTGCAAGGGTCCCTGGGCACTGCAGCCCCGCAAGGCAGATGGCACTGTCCACACAGTGCTCACACTGTGGGTGCCACGACCTCTGTCCTAGGACCACCTGATCTGCTTGTTGTTGAGCAGGTTCTACCTCAGCCCAGGCTGCCTCGGCTTCCTGGCACTGGCCTACTCCATCAAGGTGCGCATTGCCTCACAGGGCAGCTCTCTACCGGGGTCTCTGTCACCAGAGCTGGGAAGGGGAGCGCTCCTTGCCCGTGCGGTGGCCTTGGTGCTACAGTGCTCACAGCCTGGGAGAGGCCTATAGGGTTCCCCGTCTGGCTGGGGCCACTGTTAAGTTGAGCCCCAGGAGAAGGCTCTGACCCCAACCCTGACCGCAGTGGCTCTGTAGGCCTGAGACCAGAAAGGCCGCTGGGGACCTGGAGGTGGCACGGCACCTGGGCTCCAGGGCCAAGTGCCGCAACATCCTGGCCACCATCTGGATGCTTGTGCTGCTGGTGCAGGCTGGTATTCTGTACCTGTCATGGCTAGCCAAGGGCTCTGTGGCCTCTTCAGCATCCCACTCACTGACATGGACCATGACTGATCGGCCAGGCCAGTCCTATGACCAACTTTGGTCTCCCCAAACCCGACCTGGGATCTCCAAGTCATTGTCGTCTAACATCGAAAGTACCTGATTCCAGAAGTGCCTGGGATGTGTTTTAAGGAGCAGGCAGCAAGCTCAGTGGTGCTGGGGGTTCATTCTCGGGGCCCATGGGGACAGAGCCACAGGGTCTTATTCATCAAAGGTGGGAGGAGGTGTTGGGCCAGCTCCCTGTCACTCACATAGGCACACCTCACTCCTGGCCATGCTCACACCCATTGGGACACAGCTTGGGACCAGGCCATGTGTCTGTGTGCCACAGGACACCACCTGCCCACATCACAGCTGACTGCACCTGGCAGGCTGCCTGTGGCTGTGCCAATGACAGGGCAGGAAGCAACCTTCACAACTTGAGCCTCTTCCCTCTGTAGGGGCCACCCCAAGCCTGCTCTGCCTGGGGGAGGGGCTCACTGTCGGCCTGGAGTCCCCAGCGCAACACCCGCCCTCCAGGAGGTCCAGCTGTCCAGAGGGCAGTGTTCAGTCAGCCATGGAGGTGAAGGTGTGCTCCGAGGCCCCAGCGTGAGCCTGGGACACCCCAGGCTGCCCAGGGACAAGGTATCCCAATGCTCAAAGATGAGCACGGGGCGATGCCCCTAACAGTCAGAACGCATGTGGCTGGGAACGAGCGTGTCCCAAGGCTGGAAATGTCCACTTCTGTGTAAGCTTGTGAGGGACCAAGGCTGTGGAACCCAGGCCTTGGTCACCTGGTCCTCACAGAGTCTAGGGCTCATATGTGCGCACACACACACACCCCTACATACCTACACACAGGTGCAGACACACATACATGTACAGACAACACACATATCTATATACACCACACATGTGCACAGACACATGTACATATTCAGACAACACACATGTACATCGGTGTATGCATGCAGATACATATCTGTATACATATCTGTGCACATATGCACACACACACTAGCAGTAACCAGGACAATTGTCCTCTGGGCTCAGGGACACCCACTCCATCTCTGTCTCCCTCCCCTGTGCCCTCCTCAGCCAATCCGCCTCTACTGTCAGGACCTGGAGTGCCCGGTGCATGGCTCTGCAGGTCTGCGGCTGGTCAGGACCTGGGGTGCTCAGTGCATGGCCCTGCAGGTCTGTGGCTGGTCAGGACCTGGGGTGCCCGGTGCATGGCCCTGCAGGTCTGTGGCTGGTCAGGACCTGGGGTGCCCAGTATATGGCCCTGCAGGTCTGCGGCTGGTCAGGACCTGGGGTGCCCGGTACATGGCCCTGCAGGTCTGTGGCTGGGTTGCATTGGCCTCATGCTGTGAGGCTGAGCTCAGGAAGCATAAAGCCATTCCTGCACGTGTTAGCCATGGGTGGCCGAGGCCTCCACACATTTGAAGCCTCCAGCTTTGCTACGGACATGTTGGTGGTGCCTGGCTAGTTGTCCTTGCCCCTACAGGCACTGACTGCAGGATGAACAGTGATGGGGAGTGTGTGTGGGAGGCAACAGCTGCTCTGGTTTCTAGGGGCTTCCTGCCTGACTCCAAGCAACATGGTAAATGGGTTTACACCAGCCCCTCCCAGCACTAACTTTAAACCTTCAGCCCCGCACCCATGGGCGGCTCCTCTCATCCTTGGGAAAACATGCAGGCCCCAACATGGGAGCTGGGCACTGTCCTGCCAAGGGCTGCTGTGTCCTGCCATGGGCTTCCTGCCTGTGGCTTGACTCTGGGAATATCTTGCCTGGTGGTTAGGGAGGCCCCAAGGTCCACTGCCCATGTTTGTCTATGCTGGCCACTGTTGATGGCCCCAGGGAACTTGGGATGGCTGAGGTCCTCCCTCCATCTACCTGGCAGGCTAGCCCCAACCCCACGGCATGGGCTGGGGCAAGGCCAGAGATCAGGAACTGGCAGGGCAGCCCAGGAGGGGGTGAGGGTGCTGGGGCCAGGGGTGTGTCAGGGACACAAGAAGAGGATGGGTGCTGGGCTCAGGGGCGCCACATGGCCCTGGTACTGGTGGTGGCCTGGGGAGCTTGGCCATCTTCTGGCAGCTACAACGGGATCCTCTGTATCCGGCCAGCTGATAGAGGGAAGGAGACCTTGTGTCCTGCAGGAAGAGGGTGTCCTGGGGTGACAGCACAAGTGGCAGGGGTGTGGGAGACCCCTGGGGAGGCAGGGCCTACCTGGCGGCAGGGGGAGCCGCAACCCAGATGGCCACAGCTCCACCTCCAGGCTGGGACCTGGGGGCCCTGTGGGGACTGTGACCTTGACTGCCACACAGTCCCTGGAGAAGCAGAAGTCCAGTCTGCTGCCCTGGAGGAAAACACCCAAGATGCTCACGCCAGAGATGTCGGGCAGGTTCACAGGATCAAAGCTTAGGCCTGCTAGGGTGAGCCTGTGGAAGGGGTGTGGATGGTGAGGGGAGAGGGTCGGGTGAGAGGAGGGGGACATGTGAGGTGAGGGGAGGGGGCATGTGAGGGGAGGGGCCATGTGAGGGGAAGGGCCATGTGAGGGGAGGGGGCATGTGAGGGGAGGGGGCATGTGAGGCAAGAGGGTCAGGTGAGGGGAGGAGGGCATGTGAGTGGAGGGGCCATGTGAGGGGAGGGGGCATGTGAGGGGAGGGGTCAGGGGAGGGGAGGGGGCATGTGAGGGGAGGGGCCATGTGAGGGGAGGGGGCATGTAAGGGGAGGGGGCATGTGAGGCAAGAGGGTCAGGTGAGGGGAGGGGTCAGGTGAGGGGAGGGGTCAGGTGAGGGGAGGGGTCAGGTGAGGGGAGGGGGCATGTGAGGAGAGGGGGCATGTGAGGAGAGGGGGCATGTGAGGGGAGGGGGCATGTGAGGCAAGAGGGTCAGGTGAGGGGAGGAGGGCATGTGAGTGGAGGGGCCATGTGAGGGGAGGGGGCATGTGAGGGGAGGGGTCAGGGGAGGGGAGGGGGCATGTGAGGGGAGGGGCCATGTGAGGGGAGGGGGCATGTAAGGGGAGGGGGCATGTGAGGCAAGAGGGTCAGGTGAGGGGAGGGGTCAGGTGAGTGGAGGGGCCATGTGAGGGGAGGGGGCATGTGAGGGGAGGGGTCAGGTGAGGGGAGGGGTCAGGTGAGGGGAGGGGTCAGGTGAGGGGAGGGGTCAGGTGAGGGGAGGGGGCATGTAAGGGGAGGGGGCATGTGAGGCAAGAGGGTCAGGTGAGGGGAGGGGGCATGTGAGGGGAGGGGGCATGTGAGGCAAGAGGGTCAGGTGAGGGGAAGGGTCAGGTGAGGGGAGAGGGCATGTGAGGGAAGGGGTCAGGTGAGGGGAGGGGTCCTCCTGCCACTGCCCCCACCTGAAGCCTGTGCACCCAAACAGCATGGCCTGCAGGAAGCCGCCAGCACCCGTCAGGAAGTTCACGGCCCCGGAGCCATCTGAGTTCTCTGTCCACACCTGGAGGGGACGGGGGTCAGTGCCCAGACCTCTGAATGCCATGCCCAAGCAGGCCAGGCTCCACGCCCACCACAGGGGCTCTCATTCAGATCCTGGTGGATCCTGGCATGTGGTCACAGGAGGATGGTGTGTGGACCTTGAAGGGCTCCGTGACGTTGGTGAAGCTCCGCTCCAGTAGGCCCCACGCCCGTGTTGGCTCCTTCAGCTCCATCCAGCCCACAGCAAACATGCTCTGGGGTCAGAGGTGAGAGGTGAAAGGTCACAGCGGACCGAACCCCTCTGTGTGGGGTGGGGCCTCCCACTGTGCCACTCACCCAGGTCATGGCAGGACCCTGGGGGGACGTCACGGGCTCATACACTTCCAGGTTCCTCCGGCGGGTGTGGGGACTCAGCGGGAAGGGGACCGGGTACCCCAGGAGTACCACATCTGCCTGCTTTACCTCCTCTCCTGCGGGCACAATGGGGCACAAATCTTCACGTCCGCTCCAGGGTGACACAGGGTCTGGGGGGCTGGAAGCCTGAAGTCCACTCACCAAGCTCATACCCCTCAAACTCTGGGTGGAACTTCCGCTCGGGGTCAAAGGGCAGCTTGATGCCATCAGCCACCTGCAGCCATCGGTTGGGAACAGGGAGGGCCAGGTCCCGGGCCAGGACAGCAGCAAAGTACAGGCTGCAGGGCAGGGGGCAAATACAGCGTTACACTGGCCCTGCCTGGGTGGGGCTGACCTGCGGTGAGGGCAGGGCGGGGCTGGGGCAGCACCACCTGTTCCGGACCAGGGCGTTGGTGTACACCGAATTGTTGACGCCTGTGTGATACTCGTCTGGGGGCATGACATCTGCAAAGGTCACAACCCCACAGTGGACAGGATGCAGGGACCCCTTGACCAGTGTTCTAGACTTGGATTCACCCTGCCCTGCAGCCCTCACCCCTTAGGTGGTACTTCTGCTCCACAGGGCTCCACTCCACACGGCTGCACCAGAACTCCGCCACAGCCTGGATCACGTCCCAGCCACCTTCCTGGAACAGCTGCAGGTCCTGGTGGGGTGAAGGACACAGCTTGGGGCAGGGCTGGAGGGCATCTAATGACTGCTCTCTGTCCAGTTCCCCTCCAGGGCTCCACCAGAGACCCATCCCTACCTGTGTGTCCTCTCACCTGTGCGTCCACCACCTGCACATCCCACATGTGTGCGTCCCTCACCTGTGCATCTGTCACCTGTGTGTCCCTCACCTGTGCACCCCTCACCTGTGCGTTCCCCACCTGCGTGTCCCCCACCTGTGCACCCCTCACCTGCATGTCCCACACCTGCTTGTCCCCCACCTGTGCACCCCTCACCTGCGTGTCCCCCACCTGCATGTCCCACACCTGCGTATCCCCCACCTGTGCGTCCCAAACCTGCATGTCCCCCACCTGTGCATCCTCTCACCTGCGCACCCCTCACCTGTGCGTCCCTCACCTGTGTGTCCCACACCTGCACATCCCCCACCTGTGCCCCCCTCACCTGCGTGGCATGGTAGTACAGCTCGAAGGCCAGTAGCACAGCCCCGTTGATGTGGAGCTCCTGAACACCATAGATGTCCTCAGGACAGACTTCTAGACCAGAGCCAGCACTCTCCCAGGCAAACTTGGCCCCCTGAGGAGGGGACAGGCACAGGGTGCTGAGGGCTGGGCCGCGGCCTCTCCCTCGTTGTCCAGGAGATCATTCCTGAGCCCCAGCACGCCCGGCCCCATAGCGTCTCCCACCCGTTAGGGTTGGGGCAGCAGCCAGGGCGGCCCTAGGGGTCGGGGTGTGGGTGGACAGCGGCTCACCTGGTAGCCTAGATTCCGAGCATTCTGCAGAGCTCCGCCCAGCGTCCGGACACGGTACTGCAGGATGGCCCTTGCGGCCTCAGGGTGGAAGAGCAGGACGACCGGGAACATCCAGAGGTCCTGGGGGACCGCCAGGGCTGGATTTCCCCAGGCTGACACTGTCCCGCACCCCTGGCCACCTCCCTCGCCTCCTACCAGGTCCTGTCTCCAGTCCAGACCCAGGTTCAGGGCCCCTGGCCTCCTGACTGCCTCCCTGCTCAATGCCCTGGGGAAGCCAGCCCGTGGTCAGTGCTGGGTGGACGGACCCCACACACCTGGTCCCAGAAAATGTGGCCCCAGTAGCATTCGTCCCGGCTCCCGTTGGAGAGGCCCCCAGGGCTGAGGCCATGACAGACAAATCCTGGGGTCCCGGGCGGGGGCAGGGCGCTGAGCAGGTAGTAGAGGGAGCTGCACAGGGCCTGTCGCAGGCCCAGGGGCCCCTCCACGTCCAGGCCGCAGCTCGCCCAGAGCTGGGTCCAGGCCTGCGTGTGCGCCGTGTACAGGGCACCCCTGGCCTGAAGCTGCTGGGCCTCAGCCAGGCAAGCCTGGACTTCAGCCTGGGTGCTGCCCACCACAGTCAGGAAGTCCCAGGTCCTGGCTTCCTCGTCTGCCTCCAGGGTCAGGGCAGGTGGTGGTGGCATCCACAGCATGTGCACCTCCTGGGGTACTCCTCCGGGCTGCTCAGGGGCCAGTGTGCGGCCCCACAGGTACCTGAGTGGGCAGGACCAGGCCTCAGCTATGGCTTCTGGCCAGGCCAGCAACAGGGACCACTGCCTGCCCCCTTACCGGGCTCCCTGGAACTCAGGACCCAAGTGCAGGTCCAGGTCAGGGCTCTCCGGGGAGAAAGCTGATTGCAACACCACGGAGACCGGATGGGTGCCAGGGGCCGCACGGGCGATGGACACGCTGAAGACCAGGACGTGTGGCAGTGTGCGGTGGGCGTAGATGCACTGGGTGGCCCGGGAGCTGGGGCCCTCCAGGGTGTGTGTGAAGCAGCCTGGGGGGCAGCAGGGAGCCAGGACCAGCTCTGATCCCTCACCTTGGCCACCTACCCCAGGGAAGAGGCCTCCAGCCCCAGGGCCCCAGGTGGGCCAACCGTGTGCCCCTCCAACACCCACCAGGGGCAGCCAGACCCACAGCAGCTACCTGTGCGAGTGTCCAGGGTGAAGGTCTCCGTTAGTGGCTCCGCTGACCCTGGGGGGGCCTCCATCCGCACATTGAGTGGACTGGGCAGAACGGCCCGGTGCGTGTCCCCTTGAGTCCCGTTGTACAGGCCACTCATGTGGATTACGTCATGGTACACGCGTGTGCCCAGGTGCGCGTTGGTCACAGGGGGCCAGAGCCTGGGGTCGCTGGGTAGGGCATGGGCGCTGAACACCATAGGGTCCTCTCTGGCAGCTTCCATGGCCTGGGAGTGGGGATGTGACCAGCTGGGCTCCTCCAGGCGGGTGGGCACACCAGGGCAGCTCGGGTTCCTGCCCACCGGCCGCCCGGGGACACCTCTCCGCCCAGCCCCTCCCCGCCCCGCGCTGGCCCAGGCGGTCTCAGGGGCCTGCGCCCCACCCGGGCCCCGATCCCGCCTCGCCGTCCGCTGGGGTCGAGCTCGGGCACTCACCGCCGCCACGCGGGCAGGCTGAGCTCGGGCACTCACCGCCGCCACGCGGGCAGGCTGAGCTCGGGCACTCACCGCCGCCACGCGGGCAGGAGCACCGGGAGAGAGGCCAGGCCGCGCGGGGCGGGAAGGAGCGGAGACGCGGCGCGGGACCCGGAAGGGCTGGCGCCCCGCCCACATCAGCTCGGCCCCGCCCCCGACAGCTCGCCCCGCCCCGACAGCTCGGCCCCGCCCCCGGTCAGCTGGGGGGGGGGGGCCCAGACAGCTCAGCCCTGATCAGCGTGGCCCTGGACAGCTCGGCCCTGGTCAGCTCAGCCCTGGACAGCTCGGCCCCACAATAAATGCCCAGTCCGTGTGTCTCTGCATTCCTAGCCCAATGGGACATGTGGGCAGGAGTGAGGCAGAAGCTTTGCCCTTGGGATTCCCAGAGGAGAACGGGGCATCGGGCGTTTCATTCTGCTCCCCGATGCTGGACCCTGCTTCCTCCACTCCCAGCATCCACTCCCACCCTGCCCCTGGCCTGTCTGACCCCTGAGTCCACTCCTGTCCCTCCCTGTCCCCATCTGCCCGCCCCCCCACCCTAGACTCAGGCCTCCGGGGTGCTCAGGCCCAGAGCCTGGCTCACCTCCCCTAGGTCCCCCACAGCCCAGGTGAGGCTGGCCCTGCCTCTCCACACACCCTCCCCTGGCCCACTGAGTGGGCAGAGCTCTTGTAGCAGCTGACCAACTTGCCTGGGGCATCCACCGCTGGCCTGTCCATCCACTGCCAGTCCCAGCTTAGTGGTGGTGCAGTGGACCATGGGGCATGGACAGAGCCCTGGCTGAACAAATCAGAAGCTGGGGGACCAGGTGCCCAGCGTAGCAGTTAGAGTCCTCACCTTGAATGTGCTGTGATCCCATATGGGCGCCAGTTCTAATCCTGGTGGCCCCGCTTCCCATCCAGCTCCCAGCCTGTGGCCTGGGAAAGCAGTCGAGGATGGCACCCTGCACCCGCGTGGGAGAACCATCAGCGCTCCTGTCTCCTGGCTTTGGATTGGCTCAAACCATCAACGGAAGATCTTCCTCTCTGTCTCTCTTTCTCTCTGTATATCTGCCTTTCCAATTAAAATAAATAAATCTTTTAAAAAAAAAGAAGAAGCTGGGGACTGGAACCAAAGTGACATTTATTCTCAGTGACCATTGCTCCCCCTCGAGCTGGGACTCCTTCTGAACAACTGACAAGGGGGTGTCAAGGGAGGCAGAGGCGATGGGACTACTTCCTGTCCGCAGGGACTGGGTGCTGGGGCCACAAGCTGGTGTGAGGGGTATGAAGGTGACAGCTTCCGGCTATGGGGAAGGGGGTGTCTGTGGACTCTGCTATAAGGAGACTGGAGAGCAAGAGGGGAAGGGCAGGATCAGAAGCTGAGTGCCTTAAGGGCTGGAGGTCCCTGGGGTCACAGCAGCTGGCCTAGCTGGGACCTTGGGCTGGGGGAGGACGCTTCAAGGGTGCCCCGTTTCCCTGGGGTCACAGCAGCTGGCCAGGGCTGGGACATTGGGCGGGGGGAGGTCACTCTACAGGTGTCCTGTTTCCCTAGGTTCACAGCAGCTGGCCCACCTGGGACCTCTGGCTAGGGGAGGATACTGCACAGGTACCCGGGCCTCAGAGGGCACTGATGGTCTCCAGCGAGGTTTCAGGAGTGCCACCCAGCACTGAGTGGACAATGACCAGGTCCGGCTTTGCTGCTATCACGACCCGCAGCTCCTGCAGCGACTGGTCACTCAGCTCCACGGCGGCCAGGCTGCAGGCACAGGCACCAACCAGGCATGGTCAAGGGACTAGGCAGCAAGGCTGTGAGCAGTGGGACGTGGGAGCTGGGAGCAGGGCTCTGACCACTTCTCAGACTGCAGCAAGGGTGGGAACTGGGGCTCTCATGACCCATAGATGTGTGTTTGGGGAGAGAAGCAGGCCAGGGGCTGTGTCCTCTGGGGAAGATCCTGGTCCAGGTTTGGGGGAGCCCCTGGCCCAGCATGCCCTTCTAGGTCAGCCTCACCTAAGGGTCTTCAGGCTGCACCCCGGATGCTGCAGGATGGAGCGCAGGTAGGTCACAGCCGGCGAGGGCAGCTGGCAGCCGCTCAGGTCCAGGGTGGCAAGCGCCGGGCTGAGCCGCAGCAGGCTGACCAGGTACTGCAGGACCCCAGGGCGGGCGCCGGGCTGCAGCCTGTGGGGAGGCGGGACTCAGGGGCTGCGGGGGCGGGGCTGGCCTGAGGTGAGGGCATGGCCGGCTCCGACGGCGGGGCCACCCCTGCCCGCCTCACCTGAGCACCCGCACGCGGCACCCCGGTCCCGCCAGGCCCTGGCCCAGCATGCGCAGGCCGGGCTCGCTGAGGCCGCAGTGCAGGAGGCCCAGCTCCGTCAGGGCCGGCGCTGTCCCCAGGGCCTCGGCGAGGTCTCGGCAAACGGCGTCCGAGAGTCTGCAGCCGGACAACCTGCGGTGGAACACACGGTGCTGAGCGCGCCGCCCCCGCCCTGGACACGTCCGTGGACGGCCGGGCCCAGATGACTCACGTGAGGGTGCTCAAGCCGCACTGCGGCTCTGCCATGGCCTTGCAGAGGGGGTGCAGCGGGGAGGCCGGCGGCGGCTTCGTGCTGGTCCTGGAGCTGCTGGGAGAGCGAGGCCTGGTCAAGCTCGGCGAGAGTCCCCCCAAGCCTCTACCCTCCTACCCCAATCCCGGAGTGAGGCGCAGTTGTGGTTTGCAGATTCAGGCACAGAGGTGCAGGGGCTCCAGCGAAACTAAACCCGGGTGCTCCCTTCCCCAGGAACTGGGGGTCCAGGGGAAAGGCACCGGGCTGGCCGGGCGCCAAGGGCACAGCACGGTGTCATGGGGAGGGAACAGCAGACACAAGGACTCAGAACATTCCGTTCTGTGAGGAGGCAGGAGGCGGGACAGGGGCTGGACTCGATGGAATAGCGAGGGCTCCACGCGGGAAGCGGGTGAGCCCTGCCCACGCAAGACGCACACACCCCTGCAGCCGCTGCACGAGGCTCCTCCTCTTCTTCCTCTCTCGCACTGCGACCAGCCCGCAGCGTTCCAGCCGCAGCGCCTGCCCGGAGGGGCAGCAGCTCACGCAGTAGCTGAGAACCGCCAGGTGCATGCTGTTGAGGCGCACCCGCTCCAGCACCAGCTCGGGCAGGCCGCGCAGGGCCTGGCCCACGAACGCCTCCTCCTGCGTTTCATACAGGCAGTACAGCACTTCCAGTGGGTAGCTGAGGTCCTCGCCCAGCTCCTCCTCGTCCTCCTCCTCGGCTTCCTCCTCGTCTTCCTCCTCGTCCTCCTCCTCCCCTTCCTCTTCGCCGGGCTCCTCCACGGCCTCGAGCCCCTGGCAGCCCCTGCTCCCGCCCTGGCCCTGCACCCAGCGTAGGGCGTCCTGCTTTACGCGCGGGGACACCGTGCAGCCGAAGTGGCGCTCGATCTCGCGCGTGCGCTCGGCGCTCAGCAGCCCGAAGAGAAAGCGCGTAGTGAGCGCCAGGTGGGCGCGCGGCCGGCCGTCGCGGGGCAACAGGGTCTCCAGGCACCCGGCCGCCACCGCCTCCGGAGATCCCTCGTCCGGCAGCAGGTAGCTGAGGGCTGCGAAGAATTCCTGGAAGCTGAGATCGGCGAACTGGTAGGCGACCTCAGTCTCCAGCACGCCGGGCAGCTCCTTCTTGCTCAGGAACAAGGCCTGCACGGGTGAGCCGCGCAGCTGCAGGCGCCCCAGGTCCCGCTCCGTGAACCGCGCCCTGCGCTCCAGGGTGCCCTCGCGCGCCAGGCCGCACAGCTTACGGAGTTCGGCTCGCGCCCCGGGCCCACCGGCACCGCCGTCCAGTAAGCTGGTGACGAAGAGCAGGTACACGGCCGTGGCGGTCCTGAGCGTGTGCGCGGGGTCGTGGCCCAGCGCGAGCTGCTGGCGCAGTACTGTGCACACGATCCAGCACACGAAGGGCACGAAGCACAACGCGAAGAGCGTCTGGTTTTCCTTGACCAGGCGGTAGGCGCGCGCCGCGCCGCGCTCGTCGTCAAAGAAGCGGTAGAAGTACTTTTTCCTGTCGCGGTCGCTGAAGCCACACACCTCGGCGCACTGCGGCGAGCGCAGGCGGCCCTGCAGGCGGCCCGGGGCGGCGGCACGCGCGGTCACCAACAGGCGGGCGGCCGGCAGCAGCGCCTTGCTTAGCAGCCCGCCTAGCACGCGCGCACCGCTCGCCGCCTCGAAGGGGTCGGTGCAGGGCGTGGCCGCCTCTAGGGCCCCGGGCGGCGCGGGCAGCTCGTCCACGCCGTCCAGGATGAAGAGCAGCCGCTCCGGCTGTGCCAGCATCTGCGGCACAGGCGCGCGACGGTCCGGGCACTGCTCCAGGACCAGGTCGGCCAGGCTACGAGCGCCCGGGTTCGCCAGCAGTTCCCGGCACGGCATGAAGAAAGCGAAGTCGACCTGGCCCTGGTACAGTTTGCCTGCCGCCCAGTCTAGCAGGATCTTCTTGGCCGCCATGGTCTTGCCGATGCCCGCCGGACCCTGCAGCACCACGGTCAGCGGCCGCTGGCCCTCCTCGTCGCGCCCGAAGAGCCGGTTGAAGGTGCGCGTGTCTGAGCGCCGCGCGCGCGCTTCCTGGGTCTCCTCCGTCCTTCCCGGCGCCACGTCCCCGCCGGCGGCGCCTTCGGCCGCGATGAGCAGCTTGGTGAAGCGCCGGTTGATACGCACTGAGCGCGCGTTCCTCTCGCGCACCTTAGCGTGTTGCCGCAGCACGTGCTCCCGGTACTTCTTGCGGTACTCTGGGGAAAGGG